TCTCTCTTTTCTCACAAGCTATCGCGACCTTTCTCCCGTCACCATAGTCATCGCCATCATCGACCATCATCATCACCTCCGATCACCATCATCCTCGCTAGTCAATCGCCAGCCATCAGAATCCGCCATCGCCAACCATCTTCCTCACGAATTACAGACCCGTCGTTAGGAGTTTTCGCCACGTGAAGCCGACGAGCCCTCTTCCAGCGGCGGGAATTCTGACGACCGTCGAGCCTGAGTTCTCGCCCATAAACGCCACCATCCCAGCCCTGTCGAGACGCAATCAGCCACCGTTACGAACTAGCTGGCCCGATGGGGAGTCCGAGTCCTGCCGGAGAAGAAGACCTCCACACCGTCAGTTTGGTTCGCAGCCCTCGCCGGAGGACTAGTGAGCGGCCGACGACCTGTGTACACAGCAGCAACTCGGTTTGACGTCCCTCGTGAATTGGGTACACAGCAGCAACTCTGTTCGATGTCCCTCGTGAATTGGTCGGGTCCCGTTCAACGCTGCCCGAGCGTCGCTGATCACGTGCAGGCTACCGTGTACTGCCGTCGGTCATCCTCCATCGTCGCAGACCTTTTTTCGGCAAATTTCCCTTCCACATTCGTGATTCCCGCGAGCCGTTGTTGTCGAGCCCGACGAGCGTGCTTCCGGCCTCCGAACAACCCGTCTCGACTACCGTTTTGTTCGTTGTCGCGAATTAATCCCGAGAACGGTACCAAAGCTCGATTCCCCTCTCGTTTATATATTTTTTTTTTTGAGCTTTTATGACATCGCGTTGTTAAGGGTCATATACTATGCCTTTATGTAGGGATTTATTCGATTAATGTGATATCGTGCGAAATCCCATAAAATTTGTGTTAGGACTGTGGATAATGAAATATTGTCGAGTCTTCGTCCTCATGGCGAAGGCCTTGGACGAATTTGGTGTGTTTCGAGTCTTATATGATTTTTTGAAACCGAACAAACTGCTGAATTTTGATAAATTCATTAAAAATTATATACTTATCTGATTGCTATGATATTTCTACTGTATCTTCCACTAGTCATTATGTAGCTCTTGTAAAAGTTTCAGATTTTTCGGAGGTCTGTAGCTATTTTTAAAAATTATAGTGATTTCTGGTTAGATTCATTTTTATTTCATAATAAATTGTGTAGTGCTTCAAAATTCATGAAATTTTAACATGTTGTCAACCTTTATGATTTGGTTGGTGTGTAAAAGTTTTAGAATTTTTGGATTGATATTGGTAGGGTAATAATTTGTTTACTGTTTCTGCTGAATAGTGTTTTAATTTCTATAAATTAGTTAGTTGCTGAAAATTTCTGGTTTTTGGCTGAGATGCTTGTTGTATGAGTATATTCTTGTTGTTAAAATATTAGAATTTTTGGAATTCAAACTATTTTGGTTTTATTTAAAATGCGAAAACTGTTGAATGTTGTAGCAATTGTATTAATTCGCATGTTAAGTGTTTAAGGCTGAGATTTTTACACAATGCTCTTCACATGCTGAGGTTCCTTGGATAAAAATTCCAGAGTGTGAATCATTCTTTTGGTCTGGTTATTAATTTAAGCTCATTTTGGCTATAAACTTTCTCAAATTTTATAAAATAGCATACTTTGATTTTGGGGCTGAAATATGTGGTTATGCTAAGTTCTAGAAATTAAATTTTTGGTTAAAATTTCACATCCTAACACTTAGGATAACCTGATCAACTTGTTCTTGGTGATTTAAAACTAGTATTTGCAATTATTTGGTCTTGTCAATAAAAACTGTGAATCGACTCGCTTTCTGTTTCTTTGTGTGTTTGACTTGGTCAATCTTTTATTGAGATTATGTGAACTTCCATGTGTATTTGGTTGAATCATAGTGTCGAGTCTAAGTATTCCAACGTCCACAGGACTTCACGAACAACTTAGTCGAATCAAGTTCGACTAAGTATAATTGTGATTTCCGTTTAAGTCAAAGTAGATGTTGATTGTAGCATCTGGACTTAATGTAGGTACTTGACGAGTCGAGGTCGCCGCCTATTCGTGCTTCTGTGTCATCTTCTGCTGTTATCGAGGTGGGTTTACTTATAAAATTTGCTATGTCGTATACGTGTTTTCGTTTGTGTTGGGTTGGTATGATCTAAGTATGCATGTAAACCATGTAGCCTATCGGCGTGAGCTGATTCGGCCGTCGGTGCGGTTGTCCCCGTCGATGTAATACGGTTACCCTTGCGAGGTAAGTCTCCCTAAGACCTAATGAAAGGCCGTGTCCGTAGCATGGCACGTACCCCCACGAGTTAGGGTAATTAATCCCCTTTCTGTGGCTAATGAAAGGTGTGTGCACATGGGTAGTATATTATGTTGTGATGTGATTTGGAGACGTGACAGATAATTGATTTATATTCATACTGCGACCATACTCTCTTGACATTGATGTTATTATGATATACGTGCATAGTGGTGAGCACCTCGGTTTCTTATTGTGCTCATCCCCACCTGCTCTTCATGGATGCAGGTTAAGGCAGGTTGGCGCATGACGATCGAGGGACGAGTGGGTCGGTCATGTGTTTATTTCATTTACGCTTCCGTTTGAATAAATGAGGTCTTGTTGAACCTTTTATGTTGAGGCCTGTGAAAACCTTTTTCAAAACTTATGATTTGTTTTGATGTTGGGAATACTTGATGAACCCTTATTGTTGGATTTATGATGTTTGGTTTTATGAGGTTTGAATATTCATGTTGAGTATTTTATCATGTGATATGATTTGGGTTAATGTAAACCTTGTGAAAATCGGGTAATGAATCCCCGTGGGCCCAGATAAGACTTGGGTTATGAAAATGTTGTTTAACACCCACTGGATTTCGAAAATGATCTCGAAAAATTATTACTTGATTTTTAGAAATCCCAGGATTTCTTTAAAATCAAAGTGGGGTGTTACATATCCTTTGGAACCTCTTGTCCTCAAGGGTAAGAAGGAATCTTGGTATGACTCAGCAAGGAGGGGAGACGAATCGACCGGGGCAATTTGGACCTTTCAGGTCCACCGATCGGGGCATTTTGGGTATCTCAGGTAAGTTTTCCCTCATATATAAAGGAGAAGAGGTAGCCCTAAACCCTAACTCCCATTCATTCCATATTCTCCTCTTCTGCGGTTGCAGCTCTCTGAGAGCAGCCTCTCTTCTGCGGTCCAGCAATGGTTCGAAGGCGATTTAGGCAGATCTGGGCTCATTTCCACCGGTTCGCTCTAGATCTAAGAGCAGACCCATCAACATATATATGTATATATATATATATATGTATATAATATTATAACTTTTTAGACAGCCATAATTTTCGCCACGCATCCGCCATATATATATGGCGGTTTTTCGCCGTCATCCGCCATTGATATCACTGCTAAATACAATCCCAACAGACTACATCTTCTACCAGTATTCTCTATAACAGCATGAATATTGCAAATGCAGGTTAGTTTATCTGCATTTTTTCAATCATGGAGTAGTATCCAACTCAATTAAACAGATCACTTGAAATAGAACAAAGACTTAATCATTTGAAAAAAGCTTAAGGCAAAGACACAGAACCAAATAGAAGACATCAATGATCCAGTCAGCATTAATCTGAGCAATAGTGGATAAATGCTCTCACATCTCTCTAACTTTCTCTCTCTAGCATCCTTACCCTTACCCTTACCCTGCCTACCCACCTACTCCTTTTTTCCAGTCACCATTACCAGCTAGTCCCAGCCGACGTTCGTCGTCGCCGACAGCGAGCCGCCCGGTTCCGCGAGGTCCGCATGCCTTCCTCATCCCGACAATCTTACCCTTTTTTTTTCATGGCTTCCTCATGAGGTCCCAGATCCCGACCTCCTCGACGTCCCTGACCGGCTCTCAGCCTCCTTCCTCCGGTGACTTCCATGGAAAAATCACCTCATGGACCAACAACCTCAAAAAGGTTTCAAAACTGCTTTTGCTCCGACCAACTTGTTTCTTCACCCTCGACCAGGAGGCCCATCGGCCCATGGTAGGTCTCGTACAGGCGTCCTCCCATCTGCTGTGGGCCCTCTCCTGCCTGTAGCAGCGCCGCCGTTAGAGGCTGTCGATTACAAGAAAAGCTCCGTCACGGCCGCCTCCGACGTCCCAGCCTGTCAGGCTGCCGGAAATCAACCTTGGCCGGTCTGTTTTGGCTCTCTCCCGGTGAATACCCTCACTGTCCAATCAGATAAATCTCTCGCGGCGCACGGAGCTTGCATCTCAAATCCTACCTACCGACACTGGTTTTCCCCTCAGCTCAAAATGGGCCAATGCCTAGGCCCAACTCAGAACCTCTTCTTTTTCTTTGTGGGCTGCCTGCCTTAGCCCACTACTCATCCCTATTCAATTCCCCAACCCACCACAACCAACCTATGACCAGGCCTTTTTCATCAGGCCCAAACACCAAACATCAAACACCAAATAACTCTACACCAGGCCCACTTTCTCCCACCCTCAACAGGCCCAAACCCCAAGCGTCCCTGCACCAAGCCAGACGTCACCCCTCAGCACCAAACAAATTGTCGATGACCATCGTCTCAGCCCCCTATCTACCGGCCGGTGGTCCGTCCTCAGACTCCAGCGTCGACGCCGCCAACCCTTAGTCGAGCAAAGCCCCTCTCTCGGTTTTGCTCCCTCTAGCGGACCCATCACCCGCTCCGTCGACCGCCGCTCCGCCAGAATCCACCCATCCTGGTCATCTTCCGGCAGGACTCAGGCACCCCAATCCGATCAACACGACAATGGCACATCGGCATGCCTTTTAGGCTGCGGCCCCTTCCCCGCCCAAGGGCCGAGCACGGTCATCCTACGTCCCCAAACGGATAACCAGGGATCCCGCTCAACCGAAGCACGTTTGTTTCGAGATGCAGTATCAGGCACATCCACTGCCAAAACGGGCCACCAAAGACTGATGTTGGAGTCCTTTCGGGATAAATAGAGCGGGACCGTCACCCGCTCCGAGGAGGGCAGGTTCAAGGTAAGTTTCCCTGAGCCCACTGTTATTTCCCTAGCTGGGTCATTTGATAATGCACTCATATTGAAGTTTTCTTTCACTGTCCCTTCCCTCAGGGATTTGTCTGTCGGTCTGGTCAAATTGGGTTTCAAGGGTAGACTGTCCCCTAAGTTTTTTAATTATAATCATTATTTACTCTTTTTTGAGTTAAAAGAGGACTACAATTCGGTTTGGATTAAGACGCGTCTCAATATCTTTGGATGTTCTGGTCGGGTGTTCAAATACATCACGGATTTCACTTTTGTTGAGGAATCTCCCATCGTCCCAGTGTGGTGTTGCTTTCTGGGTCATCTACCACATCTTTTCGACCCATCTTCCCTCTTCTCGATTGCCAGCTGCATTGGCAACCCCATTGAGACTGATGCCGCTACGGCAAACCGCTCGAGATTATCTGTCGCACGGGTGTGCATGGAGATTGACCTCAGGGACGAGTTCATCAAGGCGATTGAGCTTGACCAAGCGGGCAAGACCACTATCCAGAAAGTGGTCTACGAGAGAGTCCCCCCGTTATGCACCCTATGCAGTCATGTCGGACATGGGGCTGCAGAATGTTACACCAGGGCCAACAATCCCCGACCTACTTTGGCCCCCCACCGCCGAGTAGCGAGGCAGAGCCCTACTGTCGCTTTGGGGAGCCCTAAGGAGAAGGGCAAGGCCCCTGCCCACAGTCTCGATCCGAAGGGACAAAAGGGCAAGGGCAAGGTCACCTCTGAGGCCACCTGGCCCAAGGAGGCTATCCTGAATGGGCCTAAAGGCCAAAGCTACAGGCCAATTCCCCCATCAGTCCCTCTAGACTGCCCCTATGGCTACTCACTCTCGCTTCTCTGTGCTTGACACAGAGACGAAGGAGAAGATTCACACTTCCTCTGATCACTTAGGAGCTTCGACCAGCTCCCTCTTTGATGACGATGACCTTTTAGTCGATGAGATAGAGTCCTCTTCCAGCCTATTGTATATTGAGGCTCCTCTTTCCCCCTCAGTTCCCATTCAGACCTTAGAGCTCTCCCCTTACCCTTTGTCTGAGCCTGAGCCCCTTCTACTCCCACCAGCTCAAACCCTTCTGACCCCACCTTCCACTTCCCCCACATCTCCCACTATCGATTCTGGTCCGCCTTCCCCAAAGGACCAGGCACAGAGCACGAATTGCTTGGAGCTCCTACAGCTCGCGCTTCTACCTTCGGAGACTTATCCTATGCGAGAGGGCCCTGCCTAGGAGAGCACAGATCACCGGATACCATAGACCAGATCGAGGACTGCGCAGCTCGCTGCAAGCCGAGTTCTGTCCCTACCAGACATACAGACACAGCCTAACCACTGATAGCTCCAGTTAGGCGGATCCACTGATGTTTGACATGTCAGTCACTTCGCTAACATGGAATGCTCGTGGTCTGGCTAATAGGACCACCCTTGCTCATGTTCTATCTCTCATTCGTGAGCATAACCTTGACTTTGCGGCTTCCTTAAAGCCTATGACTCTTGACCTTTCTTTTGACGTTTACTCGCGCCGTCTTGGCTTTCATGCCGGGGTGGGCAACATCTCTAATAAGACTTGGGTTTTCCACTCACGTGACTTTACTTGCCAGATCATTCGTGATACTGATCAAGTTTTGCACGTGAAGCTCACCGCCGATCATCTTCCAGAGCCAATCTTCCACACATTGGTTTATGCCAGCTGTGCGAGGGTTGGTCGTTATGACCTCTGGGACACCTTGCGTGAGATTGCTGAGAGTATGGACGGATTACCGTGGATGGTTAGCGGTGATTTCAGCATATTTTTGCATCCCGATGAGCGCATTAGTGGTGTATCGGATCGTTCAGCGGAGATCTTAGATTTCTCACATGTTATATCAGATTGTGAGCTAATCGACACTGATACGAAGGGGCTCCCTTTACATGGGAGATGGCCGGAGTCAAGGAGAGGCTCGACCGTGCTCTATACTCAGAGGCATGGACGAGGGTGTTTGCGACCACGGTTGTAACACACGTCCCTCGAATTTGATCCGACCACGCCCCCTTCTGATCCAGTGTCGGTTCTCTATTTCTCGTCGGCGAGGGTCCTTTCGCTTCCAGAATATGTGGGTCCGCCATAATTCTTATTACGATATTGTTAGAGCTTCCTGGCAGCAGGTTACACACCTCTATGGGATGCGCAACCTGGAGGAGAAGCTCAGGAGACTCCGCCGAGTTTTGAAGGAGTGGAACTAGACGACTTTTGGTAACATTACTTAGTGCCTTACTGCAGCTCAGACTGCGTATGCGGAGGCCGAACGGATATATGAACTGGACTTTTCACCAGTGAATAGATCCGAGATGCACTGCTGCCATGCTGAGTACCAGTTGCGCCTCCTCATGGATGAAGACTTCTGGAAGCAGAAGGTTGTTGTGCGCTGGGTGGCTGAGGGGGAACGTAATACCAAGTTCTTCCATGGATTCGTGTGGCAGAAGCGAGTGAAGTCGTACATCCATAGTATCAAGGATAATGGGTCATCTGTGACCCAGGAGTCCCAGATACGGGAGTCGGCTAGGGCTTACTTCAATTCTCTCTTTTCCTCTGATCGGGAATTTCTTACGCACCCCGACCCTGGCCTTTTTCCAACCATCCTGCAGTCGATCGACCTTATCGGCCTCTGTGACCTCCCGAGTAAGGAGGAAGTCAGGGAGGCTGTGTTTGGAATTGATCCCAACAGCGTCTCCGAACTGGATGGCTTCTCGTCCCTCTTCTTCCAGTCATGCTCGGAGATTGTGGGAACTGACGTAGAGGAAGTTTTGAGGGATTTCTTCTCTGGCCACCAGATGCCAGAGTCCTTTATAGCAACCTCCATCATTTTGATCAAAAGAGACCCGGACCGAGCTCCTGGTCCGACTATAGACCTATAAGTTTGTGCAATATGACTAACAAGATTATCTCTATGATCCTTAACGGACGTCTTGCCCCTATCCTCCCCTACCTTGTCTCTCTGAACCAGAGTGAATTCATCAAAGATCGAGTCGTTAGTGATAATATCCTCTTTGGCTCAGAAGATGATTCACGATATCTCTCATGCGAATCGAACACGAACCCCGAACCTCGTGCTGAAGCTAGACATGGCCAAGGCATATGATAGGGTCGAGTGGTATTTTCACAGGGAGGTACTATTTCGGATGGGATTCCCCACCCGATGGATTAGCTTTATAGAGGCGTGTGTGGAACACTGCACGTTCTCTGTTCTGATTAATGGTAGTCCCACGACCTTCTTCCCCTCTTCCCGTGGACTGCGTCAGGGGGATCTACTTGTTGGTGTTATATACTTAAGCTTTGCTTTAGTGGATATTACACTTGTTATTTCTTGATGAATGAGAATTATGTTTGGTTAAATAAGTTCCACGTTCTGTTGTTCTGCATGTAGATAAGTGGGTCGTCATCGGGCGTACAGAAGATCACTATATCAGTTACTTGCGAAACAAGAATCATTGGTTCACAACCCAGATGGAATTGAACAACCCATCGGAACGGTTTTAGTGTCAACCGTACGGTTTGTCTTGACCGATTAGTTGCACTAGTACATTTATGTATTGAACAGAATCCCAGAGAGGGATGTTCGTTTTATATTGATTGTCGTAAACGAACTAGGCCTCAGTTAATTATTGCATGCTCTTAACCCGTAAGATATTAAATAGGCATGTGCACATAATTGTTGTTGCTTTGATTCTTTGGCTGAGATCCAAGTCGGGTCGACATACTTAATGAATTGGGTAATGATATTATGTGTTTGATGTGCTATTAGGATATTTACGGTCACCATGTGCGTTAGTATGATGATGTCCCCGAAGTGAGTTCATGAAGGAATATTATGCTAAACCCTGCAGGTGGATTTATTCCGGCATAATATGAATGCTATGAGCGAGCGCTAGCTTCGGTAATATAATATATTAATTAATTCTTGATTATTAGTGATCGAACTAATTAATGGACATTATATCTTAAACATGGGGAGGTAAATCGAATAATTATAATAAGGAGTCTCAAATGTAATTTGGGATAGGTAAAGGGAGTGCAATAATATTATTGTGGTGGCCTTTAATATTATTAATATATTAATTGTGCGGTTGCTCCACAGTATTAATATATTAGAAGCCCTTATCCTATTCTCCTTAGGATCCTTACTGTAGCTCTATATATACAGCATTAGGCTCATGGAAGAAGAGAACAATCCCATAACCTACAAATTTCGTCTGCCCCCTCTCTCTCTCTCTTCCAAGGAGTTGTTCTATTTCTTGTGCTCCACTGATACAAGATCTAGATAACTGTTTGAGAATACAGTAGAAGATCTTAAGGTATATACGGGATTCCAGTCAAATCTATCATCAATCCAAACCGGAGACCAAAACCAGCAAGTGACCATACCACGACGACCAGGACGACAAGTCGGAGAGATCGCCGCCAGCCGCCGCCGGAAGATCCCAGCTGCTGGAACTTACACCCGCACGTGAGAGCGCGTGGACCCTCCGATTTCCGATTGGTCAACGCCGTTGACTTCGCCGTGACGCCAGCTTTCTGGATTGGTCAAGTTTGTTCGATTCCGAGAAGATTTGATTTGCGGTCATCTGTTCGGGCCAGCCAGATCTACATAAATTTTAAGCCGTCAGTTTTCTACATCAAACCTTTAGATCCGCTGCGCATAGGTTTATGTTGAATGTTTGTCCGTGATTTGTGCATATCGAGATCCTCTTGGGTTCCAACAATTGGTATCAGAGCACGAGGTTAATCCGTTATGTACAAGATCCAGGTTAAACGGCTTATATTGTCTATGTGTGCTCAAGCGCAGCCATATATATTGGATTATTTGCATAACTTGGTTTTGCAGGAAGTAGTTAATCCACTATTATGACCACCTTTTTATGTGCTTGTGCTTAATTGATGGTTGGTTGTATGGTTTTAAATTTGTTTTTAAAGCCTCGGGATTGTCGAGGAATTATGGATGAATGTTTGTATTAATTGCCCGGGGGTTGACCGGATAGTTTAATTTATTAGTAGAAGGCATGTACATCCACTCGTTGGATCTAGGAATTGATTTATGTAATTTTGTAAATTATATTTTTCGAATTGTGATCGACTGTTGGAGATCGGGCCTTCACAAAGATCCAAAGAGTCTCGACGAATAATAAAAAAAAATATTTTTCGACCACCGGGGTGGCGACCGGCGACCGGAGGGACGACCGGAGGACCTCGGCAACATCCATGGTGGAGGTTTTTTGAACTTGCAGTACAAGTCAACCGAGATTCTACTGCAGTGGGAGTTCCAGTTGGTTTAGGAAAGATATCCTAATCCAAGGAGAATAAATATTTAATTGGCCATAATAGTGGATATTTATTTATGGCATTAATTATTTATTTGTTTATTCATGCATGGAATTAATTGTTGCCTTGTGTGCATAAGGTTATTTAGAATTGCATGAATATATTAAAATCCTCATTTAAATACTAAGTTGAGAATGATATTTAAAGTTAAGATAATTTTAAATTCCTAAGGCCTCCATTTCTAATTCGTTGGTAAATCAATTAATTGATAGTGTGGGCTTCCCCGAGGATGACATTACTTGAAATAAGTGCTAGTGTAATCCTTCAGTCAAAGACCAACTGAATCGAGAATACAATACAGTCTTTTTTCCAAGTGGGGTCTCACTGCCAGTCTAGACTGTGAACAAATAGTTTAGTCTTATAA